TGGGGCTTCCTATTGGTGGAGGCCGTATTGTTGGAGAAACACGGTATTATTTTTTAATGAAGTTCTGGGAGTCTTTTGATTGAAGAAAAGAGTAATTATAAATAATCTTGTCCCTATTAGGTAGTAGTACTATATAGTAGTACTAGTACTAACCTAAAATTACTTCTGCATATTTTTAAAGATAAAATGCAGAGAAGCAGATAGCAAGATCTACTTATAAGCACCTATTACTTATTATAATTAAACAGAAATAGAAAACCAAAATACAAATAGAAAATAGAATATAAAAAGAAGATGACTTATTGCAAGCCTGAGAAATGTGGAACTCTCTCTTTAAACTACATGGTTTAATATTTACAATAAGGTTTTACATCAATCTTTGTATATAGGACATTTCTTTCAAAAAAGCCATATTGTTATATATCACATTTTTATTTATTTTTAGCAGCAATATATCTGATCAGCTGGCAGTTTGCCTTTTAATATGGAAAAAAGATGTCTCACCAGGTAATAGCCAGTGTGGTAGCCACTCATATACCAAGCTATTAACATACTTCCTAAAGCTTCATCATCATCATCAGGTGAATCTGAACTAAGAAGTGGAGGAGGTGGTATCAACTAGAAAAATAATGGACAAATTTATCAGCTAGCTTTAGTTTGCAATAGTGTTTCTCAAGGCTGGCTGGATAAATCTGAGTGTTGAAATCCACATATCTTAAAGTATCTAAGGGAGAGAAGCATTAGTTTGTATGAACAAAAAGGAAAGCGCTCATTTCAGATACAACAGTGACATTTTAACTAGCTAAAACCACAGTACACCCGTTCAGAATCAGTCACTTCAAATTTAATTTATACATTTTTATTACTGCTTATTAAATTCAGACAAATCCTTAATGTAAAATTAACCAAATTAGTGAAATAAAAATTATAGAGGCACATTGTCATTTCATGACAATTCTCAACTAGAAACTCAGTAATGAAGTTTATTTTTCACAACTATGATATGCCTCTTATTGCCTGTCGTTACTCACCGGTGGTCCTGATGGAAATGGTGGAGACCAGCCAGATAAGAAAGGTGGAGGCCCAGGGAATTTCCTACCAGCCTAAAGCAGCAAAGGATCCTTAATTAATTATACTACCATATTCATGTGTGACTCAACAATCCATAAAACAAACCTGGAGAAACATCAATGGGCTTTTGGGCAAACCTGACATAAGCATCAATCAAACTTTATTATGGTCAAACGCCAGCATAAGGAGGATGGAGTACAGTAAAAACAACCATGCCTATTGGGATTCACTGGCAATAAGGGTTGGTATCTTAGCTATATAGTCCAGTTGATGCTCTGTGTCTGCTACACAGTGTTTAATGAATGCTTTGGCCTAATTTGGAGAAAAGCCTGAGGATGAGATTTAGATGTCACTGTCTTTTTCCATGTGGACTGAAAACTATTCCTCAATTCCAAGAAGAAAAAAGGCAATAGTTGAGTATGGTGATTCATATTCTAGCCTCTACTTTCTCGAGACCTGTTTCTAGTCTTATGGTGTCATTAAGTACCATTTGTGGACTTGAATGGTCAATCTTAGAAATTTGGACTGAACAAGTTCTAATAGTGCAAAACTAGAAAATGGGCCCAGCTGGGCAAAAAGAAATTGTGCTATATTGGTTTGGCTTCAAATAATTTGAGTGCTGCAGGAAAGTAGTGGCCACCTTTTGTTTTTGGCGAGTACAAGTTTGTGTTGAGGAGATGGCCCACCATGGAGTTGATATGCAAGCTGGAGTTAATATAACATAAAACGATGCACTCATTCTAGAGCCCGATAGATAGGGTTAGGAGGAATGCATTGTTTCCAGAAGGGCACTTGTGCTGTATGTAGAGCAGGGGTGGGCAAACTTTTTGGCTCGGGGGCCTCATTGACTTTTAAAATTTGACAGACGGGCCACCACCTGGTGTCGAAATGCCTGTCATTACAAGTCAAAATCAAATGAATGCAATCATTCACATCAAACCTTAATTCTGTACCAATCTTCGGCGGGCCGGATTAAAAAGACCAACGGGCCGGATGTGGCCCGCGGGCCGTAGTTTGCCCACCCCTGATGTAGAGGATGTGGTCACTGGGGCATGGGCATCAATGTTTTTCTTAGTGAACAATTCCCCCCACCCCTTCTAACCATGAATCCCATTTTTACCCAGTGATTTTCTGATGGTGGTGTGGCTTTAGCCCAAGTGGGAAAGACTTGCTGATCTGGAAAGTATTTTGTACCTTGCTAGTTTATTTATTTTCTTAACAATGTTCTCTTGGAGTGATTTTATGTTCTCCAAAATCTCTATTTTAAGGCAATGTTTATGGAGTTTAATTGAACCACAAAACTTTAGAAATATTTCTATAACTTTGTTCAAATGGATAGGCTTATTTTCCAAAATCCTCAGAAATGCCTTCTGAGTGGGACATGACATGCTTTCAGAAACCATGAAGTAGGGAGTCAAATTTGTGAGATTTACATAGTGTAGATTTGGTCCAAATCAATCTGTTTAATGAAACATTCTCACAGCTGCCCTAGTCATTCTTTTTAACTGAACTGCATGAAGTAGGGAGACAATTAGGTTTTCCCACTGGTACACTACTTGTTGGATGATTTTGTTTATGCACAAAAAAGTAGATGTTTATTTTTTTCAGATTCTCTTTACACATCAATGCAATTCACACAAAGTTCTGTTCTGATAACCAGAGGTGGTATTCAGCAGGCTCTGACCAGTTCTGGAGAACAGGTAGCAGAAATTTTGAGTAGTTCAGAGAACCGGCAAATCCCACCTCTGACTGGAGATTTTACAGTATCCTTCCCCTGCCATGCCCACTAAGCCACTCTCACAGAACAGGTAGTAAAAAAAATTGAATCCCATCACTGCTGCTAACGTTCAGTATCAAGGATTAAAAATCTGAGAAGGACAAAATACTTTTTCAGACAACTGTGTTTATTCATTTTCTTTAAAATAACCTATTCATTTGCAACAAGGCTCTACAGACTCTGATGGGAATCTTTCCATGCAATATGAACCCAAGTATTAAACTGATAGCAAATTTACTTTGAATAGTTTCCAATATGTCCTTCCTCATAAAATTAGTTTCAATACTGCACCTTAAGTTTTAATATAACAAGTATAACTTAATTTTGTGAATACCATTGCCTAGTAAGGTAAAAACTTTCAAACTTGCTTATGAACTTACCCTTTCTGAGCCTTGTGCTGAAGGTGATGGTGGAAGAGGAAAGTGGGAGTTCCACTGTGCTGATTTTGTAGGGTTGTGTTTGCTTTGAGGTGACCGGAAGGAAAAGTCACTTTCATCTGTTGAATATTGAGTCTCATTTTCATTCTAGGAAAAAAAATTTTTTTTATGAATGGCAGCAGATATTTAAAATTACAAAACATATACTGTACTTTTTGCTTTCATTCTATTCTCTGTAAAATATACTGTTTTAAGTGCTTTAACTGCTAAAATAATCCGTATTTCAAAAAAAACAGTAACTAGTAAAAATGGCGATAATAATAAAATAGCTGGAATAGACTGTGGTCACTAAATGAGGACAGGATGCATTTTTAAAATTATATTCTTCCTATTTGGTATAAGATGTTACATTGGCCTTACCTCAGCAGCACTTTTCTCTTCATTAGTTCCCTCAGTATCCATCGGTGGTAAAAGATCTGACAACTTCTGTTCTTCCCTATTACCATATCCAGTATAAACTACTACACAAGTTCCTTTCTTCCAGTTAACTGAGGCAATAGTGGCTTGGTATACATTGCCATCTTCAGACCAAACTGCGCTACATGCATCATTAACTCTCCACTGCATTGAAAAGAAAAATGTTATATTAATGGTGCTTCAAATCAATTATTTCCTCGCCTCACTATGTATTTACTCGCTAGCTCCTGTCATAAAGGTGTGGTATTATTTTTATACAGCAAGTATTCTGAACAGTTAGTGACTCCAAATTTACTAATGTATTGATGGAAGGATAAAAAAGCAAATGTCAATAAAGTGGAAGCTGTAGAAGTGGAAGTTTTGTCCTGGTTTGGGATCTGACAGTATACCAGATCAGCTCATATTATACCAGTTTTAAGGAACTATATTGCTTTAAAGATAAATATCAGAGGCAAATATCGCATCCCTTACAAATATACATCCTATAATTTTTTGCTCTGGGATTGCTCCAATTGCTTGCTTGAACTTGTACTATGTAATTATAAAAGAAAAACAGCCTTTTTGTAAAACAATGCTCATGCTATTTCATAAATTCTTAGATTTTTGTATTTATTTTTATTTACTCTGGCACTTAAATAGGTTTATAATGCCCCAACAAAAGATTATTTAATTCGTTGCACATAAGCAGGATAGCAACCTTACTAGTTTTATACATTGTATATTTACGGTCTGGACATCTTGTCACTTCAATTAAGTCACTTTTTAAATTTGCAGCTCATGTTTTAAGACTTTCTGCTTTATTATTCCTACTGAAATAGCTTCAATGGGCTAGAAACAAGATTCAAATAATACAAAATGTAGAAGTTTTCATAAACACACTATTTTATAACAACAGTAAACTATTTTAGCAATTGGAAAACAACTAACCTATAAAAAAAGCTTAAATCTTGGCAAATAGCAGATGTCTCAATTTCTCTACCATCAAATTTAATATGAAACATAATTAGAAAATTGAAACTTTGCCTCCTGTTTCATGGCAGGGAACAATTTTTGTCTTTTTATTTTAGATTTTTAATTCCTTTTTGAAGTTCATTTAAAAATGCTTTTTCCGCAATAAAACAATTAAAAATGGCTCATCTGTTATTAATTTTCAATACAGTGTTCTTCCATATAACCAACAACAACCTGTTTCTGTGTTGCAGCATTATTTTTCTTTCTACTCTTATTCTTTTTATTGTTTTTTCTTTTTGTTCCACCATTTTGCTCAGTTTTATCCAAAGGCTCTGAGCAGTCACCATTCTTTAAGGCATTCTGTGGGAGAAAGTAAAGAAATGAGTAAAATAGACATTTCTTCAAGTTGAACTAGATTGCTGATGGCTACATAGATGTATTTTTATTGGCAACTGGCTTTCCATTGCCTAGTCCAACCTACAGTCTTGGGATTCCTCAAAGACTTTCAGTCAAATGTTAATTAGATCCAACTCCCTTAATTTTCAAGTTCATTGGTTCTGTAACCAGCTGCTTATATATTCAGCATGCACTATAAACCTCATTTTACAACTACCACTCTTTTAATTGTATTGTGATTTTTTAAATACAAGACATATTTTAAACAATTTGAAATAATTATGAAACATACGGAATGTAATAAAACAAAACATGTAAAAAGAACCCTATTGGAATTGTACAAGCAATCCTTCAATGACTAAGATTGGTGATGTGCTTGAGTATCATATAGGCAGATGGATTGGTTGTTTCTCTTTCAAACTGTGGTTTCTAAAATGTAGCTCTTAAGAACTTCTATAAGCTTTCAATGTGACATTGGTTCAACTTTAGTTTGCTTGCTTCTACATAAATACATATGCATAAAGATGCTGCTATATTCGAACAACGGTTTAGTCACAAGACAAAGAACTTGTAATTTTAGCTATTTAACTAGAATATACAGTATTATTAAATAATAGAAAGTCTATTTAAAAATCTGTATTGATTTTCTTACAAAATTTGTTACAAAAGTAAATTAACCAGAATATGATTGGAGAGCCGAAAAGTAGCCAACCTTGGGGCTCAGTCCTAGCACATGGTTCATTTCCCCCTCAAGATTAATAAATACAATTTTGAAAATAAAATGCCTTTGTAGATATATAAGTAAGTTCTTTCTGAAATGTTTTGCATTTTGAGCGCAAGCGCTTTTGTACTTTGAGTACACCTCTGCATTAGGGAAAATTATTTCTTTAGAATTTTCTGTTTGGTTTCTAGCTAGTTTAATGTTTAAGAATCAAGCAATATACGATGTATACATTTCAGGAAAAATAATCCCTCTGCATAGTGAGCACAAAATTCCACCGTGCGTTTTACCTTAAAAGATGCAACTGCTTTGTCGTAGGCTTTTATCAGTGCTGTATCATCCCATATATCAGAATCATCACTCTGTGAAAAGCAGAATTGAAAAAAAAACAAAAAAGTATATATTTATGAAGAAGTTAAAAAAAAACAACACAACAGTCACAACAACGAACCGTGCAATGTGCATAATCTTGGCTTTCCCTATTACTTTGTTTCAGGAATCACTTATTGGCACGCTGAATTCAAAGGTCTGGGTGGTAGTTGCCTTTCTCGCGTGGAAGGGGATAAACGGCAACTGCACACATTTCCCTGCCCTGCAACAGGATAAAACTCTCGTCTCTGAAATTCCGCCAAACTTTCCAGCAGTTTTGCTTTTGTGTGCAGCGCGGCGGCTTCAGCTCCCGAAACTCGGGCGCTGCTGCTTCTCCCTGCTGAAAGGAGCCTCGTGCTTCCCCGCATTTCGGGCAGCCCGGACGCCCCTCAGACCAGCACCACCGCCCCCGACCCCCACGCGTCCCCTTTGAAAGGAAAGGGTTTGTTTCCTTTCCTCCCACGCGGGACGGCTTCAGAGCCACCGGCCAGCCACAGCGACCGTGGTTATCGCAAAGCACCTCGAAGGGACGCCTGATAGCACCGTACCTGCCCGGCCCCCCGTCTGAACAGGACCGCGTCCTCCCCTTCGCGGGAAGCCATGTGAACTTCCGAGCCAGGGGATAAAAGCGGAAAGCGAGCAGAGGGAAGCGTCTTTTCCGAAGGCCACTTCGCGGCTACAGCTGGCCTCCTTCTCTAAGCATCGCCTGGGAAGAGCTCCGGCCAACGAGGTTTCCACAAGCGTGGGCCGACTGCGCGGCGTAGACGCGGTACCGCCCTCTGCCGGTGGGGAGGCTCCCCGTCTTAGGTCGTCGCTTCGTTGGCAACGGCCGTCCACCGCCACCGGTTGGATCTTTCTCAGCTGGAGGCTCCAGCGTTTTCCAACAGGGGCCTCTCCGGAAGGGACGCCACGACCTACAAAATTCCCAGCCAACTGTAACAACAGCGAGTGATTTGGGGAGGCATAATCTACAGAAAGCAGCAGGCTGGGAATCAAAATCCCGAAAAGATTTTGAATGATTCTATAGCCACAAGCATTACCCTTTTTCAATCCCTGTCGCTAACGGACTGCCAGTGTTCTTTGGCCCAGCCCATAAATTTAATTAATCTGACAATCTTTTACACACAGTCTGACCCATTTCTTCTTGCTTGGATTTAAGATTTTTTTTAAATCCTGTCTTTTATTACTTTTATAAACAATTCAATGTGGTGAGCGTACCTAATACTCTTTCCTACTCTTCTTTTTCCCAACAACCCGTGAATTAGGTTGGTCTGAGGGAGACTGACTGGTCCAGTCATCCACATTGGTTTTCATGCCTAAGGCATAACTAGACCTTCCTGTCTGCCAATTTCTAACCTGCCTCAAAACTGCTTGCTTAGATCAACACAGCTATGGCATGTTAAGCACACCATATTTAATTTCACCTCTCCACAAAGTGTGTTCGTGTCCATTTGATCACTAATTGGTACAGTACCAAGGAACAGGATGGAGTGTGTGCCAATTACTATTAATGCAATTGATTAGTACACTCCAAAGTATCTTCCTTCCACTGCCACCAAAGACAATGTTTTCTGTTAGCAAACAAGGATATGGTGTTGCAATATTTTTTGACCAAATACAGCAAGGGCTAAATTACACTAAAACTAATGGGCAAAGGCTGAAGAATCTATACTAAGTATTACATAACCAATGGCTGACCAACAGTCATCACCGATTCCCAAGTTGAGGTGGGTAGTAATAGAGCTACAGTATTTGAAATATCTTTACTCTTTACTGTTATCTACTAGTCCTCTGGTTTTTGCATGAAGTTTTAAGGGTAGCCAGATTTGACACAAAATAGAAAATCCTGTATTTTCTACTGCCTCAGATTTGTACCTCACTCTGGCTAACGTCAAGCCAGAAAACAAGTGCTAATCCTCACTGTAATGCTGAACTTGCCATGAATTAAAAGGCCTTCCATTTTTTTACTTAAAATTTTGATACTCAAAAGGAAGGAACCATTCTTCCCAAGTGATTTTATTTCATTCGATGCTGCTGTATTATTTGTTCCTCATATATTGCATTTAAAATGGCAATGCATTTTTCAGGATTCTTCTGTAATCTACCTGTTCCATTGGTTTTGAAAATGAAAAAATATATTTCAAAAATTATTAACATCTATAAGATGGACCTAAAAGTTTGAATTTATAAGAATGATTGAAAGATCTTTGAAAGGTGGATGGCTCTTCGGTAATCTGCTATAGAATGCATTTATGATGAAATAGCCTTTTGGACCAAATACTTCACCCAGTGCTTCTTCGGTATTCTGTCTACATTAACACACAGGTTTCATTTGAATCTTGGTGATATCATTAACAAAGCATTGCAATTTTCTTGACAATACAAAAAATAATTTGCCACTGCCTTATTATGGAAAGTTCGTCAATTTCCTGGCTTGCATTCAACTTTAGGATATTTGAGGTAGTTTTCCTAATTTGACCCTTTTTTTCAACTCAAAAAGTTAGCCATGCACTGCCACCTACAGACAATACACAACACATCCTAGTTCATGCAATAAATTTAATCTCACAATTCGGATGCCTACTTAATTATGAGGATTACACTGTTAAATTTTAGTGAATTAAATATAGTACCCCTAAATTCTTTACACAGAATATTGAATACTGAGCCTGATCAACTTGAATGATTAATGATAAAGACTCAAACAAAGACTAATACAGTAATTATATTGCTTGAAAAAAGAATTTAAGTTGATTTTTGTAAATACTCTTATCATTCCCAGTTCTATTTCCACTGATTACAGTTCAAAGAGCAGAAAAGAGGGCAAACGTATGAGAAATGGGGTTATTACAAAAATCCTGATTTCTAGATGGCAGTAAAGATACCCCATCTCTTTAACTTTTTATCAGCCAACCATTGTCCAAATTTTAGCATCCCAGTAATCCTATTAATGAAGACAAAACACATACTTATCATAGATACAAATTGACTACTGTATAAGTTAAGATGTTAGGAATATGTTGCCATATGTTCTAAAGCATCTTTCTGGAACTGAATCTGAGTAATTATAATCTACAAGTTATTTTTAACCCAGAAGGCCAATTTTTACCTAAAGTTCAAGTCAGTCTTATCTAAAATCCAACTATTTTTAAATCCCACATAACTGAAATTTAATAACATCACAAGAAAGGACACAAGGCCATTTCTACTTTAAGTTTTATACCAACATATCACACTTAAATCACAATTGTATTTGTTTTAAAATTAAATCATGGCTAACAGCCAATTTCAAAATACCTACCTGTATTTTTTGCACTATGACACACTCCCCCTCCCCCCAAAAGTGGGTGGAAATGTCTGTGCGTCTTAGAGTGCGAATAATGGCAAAGCCCCACCCACCCGCCAGCCTCCCAGAATACCTCCAATCAGCTGTTCCAGTTTGTGGGGATCGCCACCGCCTGAAACTGGCTGAAATGGGACATGTGGCTGAGGCAGCAATGGACGGAGGTGATCCCAGCAGCCTGGAATAGTTGATCGGCAGTATTCCAGGAGGCGGATCCAACCGCCAATCAGCTGCTTGTGCTAGATCAGGCTGTGCTGAAGCTGACCAGGCGGTTTGCTGCAAGGAGGCAAATTGCTGGGAGGCAGAGGCAGATTCCGCCCCCCCCCCCCTGTTTTCTTCCCTAAAAGCTAGGTGTGTCTTATGGTCTGGAGCGTCTTACAGTCCAAAAAATATGGTTCTTTGTTGCAATAAAAAAATAATTCTATTTATTCCCTGAAACTCTGACCTAAAAGACTCTTAATTATCTGTACCTTTCAAACAATGCAATTTGTTCTTTGTATGCTCTAGCAGTCTTTGACGTGTTCAGAATTCAGTAAAGGTCACCCTGATTACGCTCTTCCAATTGACAAGTATGCTAATAAAATTTCATTGTTCAGAAGAAGTTGCTGTTCTCAGAATATTCTCTTGACCTAATTCTAGGTCAGTCTGGTTGTGTCACAAGCTGAAACACAATTATGCATGTAAAACTAATTGTTCAAATAAGGTTCTTACCAAGTGTCGTGGAAATAATGTTGCACATCAATAAACTTAAGCAACCCATTCAGTGACTGCTGCACTTACAACCGAACCACGTTTTAATAAAAAGATAATATAGTTTATATTTTAATTCAAATTAGATTTTAATTGCAATTTTACATAAAACAGAATCTTGGTTTGCAATTACTGAAGAATGGTATTAAATACTCAGATTGAAGTTAGAACACATGATGAAAGGCAAGTTATTTGTGCTATAGGCGACAAAGGATTCTCTAAATTATGTTGTATTTCCAGCAATAACTGAAAATCTATTGGAGCTTCTTGAGTACCCAATTCCGACAATATGTCATGCAATATTTTTATTGTAAAAATAATTTATGATTAACTTTACAGCTGACCTTTTATAAAGTGGAAAGCAAGTACAGATACCTATCCTTTTAAAACATCACTTCTGAATTTAAGAGTGCTGCCATATACATTTCCTAGCTTACTTGCATATATAAGTGGTATAATCACACAAGCAATTTATTGAGCAAACATTTTAACAATAAAATACATTCTGGCTATTGCTACTGTGACTAACAGACATGCAAAGGGAAATACAACCTTAAAATCCAATTTTATTGGACCAGATTCTAGTAATTCAGTCAAAGCCAAGTCAGCTGCAAATACACTATACTAACCATACATTCTAAAATAAATGCATACTGGACAAGCAAGTAAGTAGAAGATAAACATTAACCATTTAATGGCTGGCTACTTTACAAATATGTCTTTTTAGGCCCTATATTTTGAGATGCTGCAGCATTATTAGGTCCTCTCTGTAGCCACATATTATTTTGCTCCTGCCTGAAGAGTCTTCTTCTCATCTGCTGCTTTTTGCTTCTGCTGCATAATTTCAGAATCTCTGTAAAAAGGGAAAGAATAAGGTCAGTTTGTGATGCCAATTTTTAGAGTCAGAACATCACAAATAAATCTCAAGTATTGGGCTGAACTCATCAATTTAATATCAATAAATTCAAAAGAGCAAAACTTTCAGCTTTTCTGAGCACAGAAAATTTTTTACACAGGACTTCTATGTACAGGTAGTCCTTGACTTAAGACCACAATTGAGCCCAAAATTTCTGTTGCTAAGTGAGACCTTTGTTAAGTGAGCTTTGCCCCATTTTACCTTTCTTGCCAGGTTAAGTGAATCACTGCAGTTATTAAATTAGTAACACGGTCATTAAGATTAATCTGGCTTCCCCATTGACTTTGCTTATCAGAAAGTCCCAAAGGTGCTTTTTCAAGAGGCACCTGGACTTTTTGGTTTTTCTTTGAAGACATTTTGCTTCTCATCCAAGAAGCTTCTTCAGTTCTGACTGGATGGTAGGAAATGGAAGGATTTATACTCCTTGCAGACAGCTGGTCATTTGCATTCTTTTAGACAATCGTTAAGGGCACCTGGAGGTTTATCTATGTCATCAGTGTCACCTGAGTGGTGCAAATGGGTGTGGAGCCTTCCTGAAACTGCTGAAAGGACTGTGTTGTAGACTGGATGATATCATATCCCTCCCTCTGTGTTGAGAGAGTGGTCTTTGTCTTTTAAATGCAGATGGACTGTTGAATCTGGTCCTGATGAATTTGTTCTCCTATGTTGTGCCATGTGTTTATGAAGTGGTGGTTTTGTTTCCCCAATGTACACATTTGCACATGGCT